TTCATGAGTTAAGGACTGAGACTGTTTCCTCATCAAACAGAGTCATGGGCAAAACAGGAGATATGAATTGAATTTATTGCCAATAAGCTCAGAGCAGGAGAATAAGAAGACCCTTAAAAGCACCTTCCTTCCACCCCTCCCTCCTTCCAGCTCTGCATCCTAACCTGGCAGTGCAGGGATACAGGGAATGGAGCCATGGTCAGTTCATCTCCCAGGGCTTTTCCTGCTGTTCAGGGACAGGAGTCATTCCCCTGCTGCACTCTGGGATCTCTCCCACCAGAGAGGTCTCCAGGAACTTCTCCAACCTGAGTCCATTCCATGGAAGCAGCCCCCTCACAGTGCTGCAGCGTGGGTCACTCTGCCACGGGGTCAGACCTTCCAGGACAGGCGGCTCCAGCAGGGACCCCTCTGTCCACAGGTGTCCCCCGGGGTCACAGCCTCATCTCAGGCATTCCCCTGCTCTGGCATGGGCTTCTCCAGGGACTGCAGGTGTATCTCTGCATTCTGGTGAATCTTCAGGGGCTGTCAATCTGCAATTCCCATTGTTGGTCTGTGTTCTGATGGATATTCCTGCCCCTGTGTTCATCCAGGTGCCCACAGGGAGTCCGGAAGTTCTGTTTGGTCAAGGTTGAGCTCTGTGAGAAGCTCTTCCCACACTGGGGACACTCGTAGGGCCTCACCCCAGTGTGGATGTGTCGGTGCCTGATGAGGGTGCAGTTTTGTGAAGCTCTTCCCACAGTCAGGGCAGTGGAAGGGCCTCTCCTCTGTGTGAATCCACTGATGTTTGATGAGACTTGAGCTCATTGGAAATCTCTTCCCACACTCAGGATGCACCGGTGTGCCCTGAGGTTGGAGCTCCAGCTGAAGCCCTCTCCACACTCCCCACACGTGTAGGGCATTTCCCCTGTGTGTATCTTCTGGTGACAAATCAGATTGGACATCTCAATGAAGCTCTTCCCACATTCTCCACACTCGCTGGGGCATTCTCCTGTGTGGATGTTCTGGTGCCAGATCAGGTGGGAGCTGCGACTGAAGCTCTTCCCACATTCCAAGCACTTTCCAGGCTTTTCCCCTGTGTGGATCCTATGGTGGTTAATCAGGACAGAGATCTTCCTGAACGTCTTCCCACACTCCCCACACTCCTAGGGGCTCTCCCCAGTGTGAATCACCTGGTGCCAGATCAGATGGGAGCTATTCTTGAAGCCCTTCCCACACTCCCCACACTCCCAGAGCCATTTCCCAGGGTGGATCCTCTGGTGTTCCCTCAGCTTGAAGCTCCAGCTGAAGCTCTTCCCACATTCCAAGCATTTGTGGGGCTTCTCCCTGCCATGAGCTCTCTCCCCCAGCTCTGAGCTCCGGCAGGATCTCCAGATGCCTTCCTGGCACAGGGGGGATCTTTCCTCTTTGCAGCTCCCTGGGCTGGGATTGCAGCCCCTCCTCATGCAGGATCTCTGGGGATTTTCCTCCTCTTCCTCCATCTGGCCATGGCTTGGGAATGACAAATCCTGATTTGGGGGTAAACAAAGTGGGAGTGCCTTGAAGTAGAGGCTCCTCCTGCCTAAGTCCATGTCTCGAGCTCAGCAGGAGCCTTGTGTCCATGAAAATCTCCAAAATATCAAGATTCAGCCTGAAAAAAACTCTCCCAGGATTTCCCCATCTCTTGTCTTTCCTATTTGGGATTCCAGAGGTTTCCCTTCCCTGGGATGATGGGGGTCCAAGGGCTCCAGGGGTTCCCCCTCCTCTGGGGTCCTCCTTAGCGATGATCCAGGGGCTTTTGGGGGTCCATGGGCTCCCTTCTCCCCTGATCTCTGCTTTGAGATCCCAGGGATCCCAGGAGTCTCTCCTCTCCAGGCTCCCACCTCTCCAAGCTGCCAGGATCCCCCAGCTCTGGGATCGCCCCTCTCTGCTCTCCCCATTCTGGGGGTCCCAGGGGTTCCTCTCCTCTGCTCTCCCAGGGGTCCCCAGGACCAATGTCCTCCCCAGCCAATACTGGGCAATGGCCACGTGGACCCCAAAGATCCCCCAAGGGGCTCAGCTTTGGGGTCCTGCAAGATCCAAACCTACACACACAGAGGGAAAACACCTCCCAGGGACGCCAGACAATATTTGGGGCTCAATTCCACAATCTGCAAGTTCCAAACACACTCCAATAAAAAGACCCTCTCAGGGACCCCCTGACAGATTTGGGACCAGCTCCCCCTCCCTGCTCACCTGCAGGATGAGGTGGGGGCGATGGGCCCGTGGCCGGGGGTGCTGCGGACACAGGGGGCACTGGAACCTCCAGCTACTCCTTCTATTCCTGTTCCTGCTCCTCCTTTTCCTTTCTCCCTCCTCCTGCTCCTCCTCCTTCCTAATCCAACCTCCTCCCCAGTTCCTGCTTTCTGTATATTTACAGTGGAGAATTTTGCTTGTTTTTAGAACTAGAACAAAGATTCCAGATGGAACAAGCCTTGCTGGTTTTATTCAGCAGTATCAGTGACTACAGGTCGTGTTTGCTCTGGTTTGGTGCAGTCCTCGTTCCTCCTCAGTGCTCTGGCTGGGCTATGGGGTGTCCTTGTTTGCTGCATTTTCAGAGTTCCTCTTGGATCCTTTGGGCAATAGGCTGTGCCCTGGGAGGATTCTTTGTGCTCCTTTGTGACACAGGAGAAGCTTCCAGGTGGTTTTTGCGTGAGCGGCTGCTGTGGTGTCACAGGAGCGTTGCCACGTCCCCGTGGTGTTCCCGTTGCTGTGGGACACGGAGGCCTCAGTGTCCAGAGCGGCTCTGGGCGCCTGCTCGTTGCCAGAGGATCCTCCTGCCCGA